CTAACAGCTAACAAACTGTTCCTAGTGCAACCCCAGGAGTGAGTTCATGCCATGCCACAGCTCATCCCCCTGCCCCCAGCCCCGTAGGGTAATGAGGAACAGAGGGGACTACTGTTATTCCTTATCTCAGAGAAGAAAATCAAGCACAGAGAGGTTAGTCTACTAAAGGGCACTGAGATGGACACTAGGAGCCACTGGCCAGAGTGGCATCAATTCTGATGACACAGGGGATATGGCTTCCTGCTGGTACCATGGTCCTTTCCAGAGGGTGACATCCCGGAGGTTCCCACCAGCTATAACTTCAGGGGTTCTAGCATGTTTCCTACCAAATCCTGCCAAGCTGTGATGGAGGTTAGGTGACACAGACTGATCATTCCAACAATAAAAAGGCATTACTGAAATATCTTAGATCTTTGAAGTCATATTTCACAAACCTAGGCAATCACTGTGACATGGAAGTGATTTTTTAACCTTCAAATAATGATGGGACCGGAAGTCAGCAGGTCTTATAAGATGTTACTTGGATCTGAAGTGACTGCTGGTTAGGTAGGATGTTTATGAACTGCCCATATGACTAACTGGAAGGTTCTTCCATTTACTCTCCACCATAGTTCAAACCTGTTCTTTAGAAACCACTGCAGCCATCCCTCCTGCAAGGAGCTTTATCTCAGCCCTATCCTCTCCTTCTGCTCCTCCCAGGCTAGTTCAGCAGGCCTTCTTGTTTACTCTCTAAGCACCTCACATTTTCATTCCCCATAACACTTGATGAACTTTACTGTCCCCTGCCTCATGATCTTGAGTGTGGGGACAATGTCCTTTGCACTTGTATATCCTAGTGTCTAGTAAAAGTGCTCAGTAGTGACTGTTGAACAGCATAGTATCAACTTCCTGAGACAGCACAACTTCTCAGATGGCTACTGCCTTGTCACCTTTGATATGGCTTGGTCTGAGATCTGACTGAGATCTGAATGGCATGGCCCTTGAAGTAAGCCAGTCCCAACAGTTAAGAAGGCCAAAATTAGGCTGGGCATGGTGGCACATGCCTTTAATACCAGAAGTCTGGAGGCAGAGGCAGGTAGAGCTCTGTGAGTTCCAGGTTAGCTGGAGCTACAAGGAGACTGTCTCAAAAAGATTTAAAAAAAAAAAAAAAGTGTGGGGGGGCATATTGTGTGGTCAGGTGACAGTGTTCAAATTATGTGCCATTTTCTTTCTTTTTCTTTAATTTTTAAAAGCTTTTAAAATTATTTTTATTTTATGTGTATGCATGTATTGCCTGCATGTAGGTAAGTACACCTGTGCTGTTCAATGACTGCGGAGGACAGAAGAGGCTGTCGGATCCCCTGGGACTGGAGTTACAGACAGTTGTTAGCTGCCATGTGGGTGCTGGGATTTGAACCTTGGTCTTCTGCAAGAACAACCAGTGTTCTTAATCGCTGAGCCATCTCTCCAGCCCCTATGTGCCATTTTCTTAAGAGAGTGCTTGCTATAGGTCAGAAGTTCTTCAACTATTCTCAATGAAATTAATAACCTTAAATTCTCATTAAATAAATGTACTAAAGGAATAATTACATTTTCCTTAGGGGATGCATTTCATTTTCAGAAGGCAATGTATTACAAAGTACCTCCTCTTCTTTGAGCAAAAGGACTATATCAACCAGAATATTAAAACCTCTTAAGATTCTTGTGTATAGACCTAAAAATGCAAAGTGTTTGTAGCTGATGCTATAACTATTTTAAAGGTTCACTTTCAAGATACTCCACTGGGTCTTGTCAAAGGAGTTCTCAAATGTAGGGTAAAACAACACATCCCTTTTTGAGGGGCACCAGCTACTCATGAAACATGATCCCTTGCACATTCATGAAGACAAGTATTTTGGCAGCAAGGACAAGGAAGTGCAGTTTATGCATCTAAGGGTTATGAAGCTGGCTCTTTACTGTCACGCTATCTCAATCATGTCCATGCTGACAACACTGAACGAAGCTGTATAGTTATCGAGAAAATTAATTTAAAAAGCCGCTGTGCTTATTCTGAAGTGATGTTGTTGACACCAGTCTCAAATTGGTCACAATAGACTACATACCACAGGGTACTGAAATGAATCACAAATTTTGAGTGGCACCGACACTACAAAAGCAAAATGAAATGTACAGATGAACTGGGTATATAATCACCATTAAGATCCTCTGGTCATGCTCAACAGGATTTCATTTAATTCCCTTTTTAAAATATAGATACATAATTTTTATTTTATGTGTATGCGTGCATTGCCTGCATGTAGGTAAGTGCACCTGTGTTGTGCAATGCCCGCGGAAGACAGAAGAGGCTGTCAGATCCCCTGGAACTGGAGTTATGAACAGTTGTTAGCTGCCATGTGGGTGCTGGGATTTGAACCCAGGTCTTCTGTAAGAACAACCAGTGTTTTTAACCGCTGAGCCATCTCTCCAGCCCCTTAATTCCTTTTTTAAAAAAATATTTTTAATTATGTGTATGTGTGGGTGGGGTATGTACATGTGCGTATCAGGTGCCCATGAAGGCCAGAGGAGAGCACCAACTCCCCTGGAGCTGGAGCAAAGGCAGTTGTGAACCACTTGACATAGGTGCTGGGAACCAAACTCAGACTGTCTGTAAGAGCAGTATGTGCTCCTAACTGTTGGGCCTTCTCTCCACTTAATTCATAGAGTAGCCCTGCCCATTCTCATTGGTGAGGAAAGCACAGTAAGGACAGTTTAACCCCACATCACCTGGCTATTAAAGTGCAGCACCAGAATTAGAAGGTTTGGCTGTGGTTCTTCAGAACCAAGGACCTAGCCAGGACATATGATTTCAGCTGCTGGGTCTCACACTCACTGGCTCCAGACCTGAAATAGCTTTCTTAATCCTGCCTCAGTTTCCCCATCTGTAAAATGGGCATAGAACAGTGTACACCTCAGAGTGCTGTGGTCAGGATGAATGAGCTCACTTACAAAAAAGTGCCTGCAACAATGCCTGGCATCCAGTCAGCATTATTTTTGCAATTATTTGACTTCAAAGTCCATACTTATTCATCAACATCAAGGGTTAATATTACAAAGCATACATATTTGTATTCTGATATACTGCATAATTTCTTTACTTATAGGAAGCAATCAACAAATGTTTCCTAATTAAGGTATTCCATCTAGTTATCACTGTGTCTCATTAAAGAAGGACTAGTGTGGAAGAACAAGACCTAATGAACACAAAATTTACCCAAACTCAGAAAAAGCAATTCTCCCAGAAATGATTTTAGAACTACTTGAAAATGGAATAGCTGCTTGTCCCAGGAGGGTATTCTACCAAAAGGGACAACTAAGTGGAGGCTTTTATTAAGTAGATTAAAGAATTATCTCTAACCATGCACGGTGGCATATGCCTTTAATCCCAGGACTCAGGGGGCAGGGGTTGGTAGATCAAGGGCTAGCCTGGTATACGTAGTGAGTTCCACCCCCAAAGAGATCTCTGTATATGGCTGTGGTAGTGGGAGAGTGGCTGTGAGACACTCCAGGGACTTCACATCATCTACTGAGAGGAACCTGGGCTGAAGGAGCTCCTTTCTGGTCAAGTACCTTTAAAGGAATGCAGTTGTCAGCTGCAGTGCACTCAGACACTCACCTTAACTGGAAAGCATAAAAGTAGAAGAGACTGTTAAAAGAACGTGTGTGTGTGTGTGTGTGTGTGTGTGTGTGCATGCGTTCGTGCGTGTGTGTGCGTGCGTGCGTGCCTGCCTGCCTGCCTGTCTGAGAGAGGAGCTAATCAATTCACTGATTTTTTTTTAGAATCCTCACAGTAAAACGATCTAGTGATGCGATTATAGCAATTTAGTTGAGTGACTATGAATAAATATTTGCTATGAAAAAAGAAAATACTTTCTGAAGCTCTAAAATTAATTTCTATGCAAATAAGAAAATCAGTACAAGCAACATTCCTTTTTATTTGAATTTCTTAATAGAAAAGAACAAAGAGAATTTGAAATCCATTTTTTGTTCCATAAAAGCACATCTGATCATCTTCTTACAGAAATAACCTTGAGCTTGCTTCTCCGCTGCAGTTAATTCCCTCGTGGCTGTGTGCAAGAATAAGAGGGAAAGGAACTCTCAGAAGCTTTTTGTAAAAATTTCCACAGCAAAACTCAAAAACCACAACAGAAATAAGTCCTACTATAGCAAAATCCATCAATGTTCTTCCTGATTTGGGTATGCTCTCATTAGGCAATCCTTCACATCTTCTGTTCTTGGACCTCCTCTTCCCATTCTTCATAGGATATGGAGGAATGGGGAGCCACACCATTCAATAAATGTCAGGTCCACAGACGAGTTGGGTGTTGGGGAGCTAAGGATGAGGCAAACTCTGGATATGGCAAGCACTAAATTTTATTAAACCTCTATTTGTAGGACAAATATACCTGCTTCAGAGGGCTATGGAATTAGGCAAGACAACCTGTGCGAGGCTATTGGCATAGTGTCTATCACTCAGTAAGGTTCAATAATGCTAGCCATTATTATTCTTTTTATTATTACTTGAGGACAAGTCATTTTTAAAATCAGAATCTAGATCATAATTCTACTGATGCATCAATACATATTACTTAGTTCTTTGATGGGTCTGAAAGCACACAGTTCAGAATTAATTAGCGGTCTTTATTAGAAGCAATAATTATAACTGGGTCAATATGCTTGTTTCACCCAAAGTAGTATTTTTATCTCAATATTTTATTTATTATTTTTATGTGTATGAGTGTATTGCCTGCATGTATGTGAGTGCACCCGTGTGGTGCAATGCCGTGGAGGTCAGATGAGGGCTTTGGATTCCCCTGGAACTGGAGTTAAGGACGGTTTATAGCCACCATGTGGGTGCTGGGAATTGAACCCGGGTCCTCTGCAAGAGCAGCCAGTGCTCTTAACCACTGAGCCACCCATGTCGTGCAATGCTGCGGAGGTCAGAAGAGGGCTTCGGATTCCCCTGGAACTGGAGTTAAGGACGGTTTATAGCCACCATGTGGGTGCTGGGAATTGAACCCGGGTCCTCTGCAAGAGCAGCCAGTGCTCTTAACCACTGAGCCATCTCTCCAGCCCCCAAAATAGTATTTTAATTAACAAGCATGCTCAAAAAATTTTACCAAGGCTTAATCCAGCTTCCTAGGTGTAGGAAGTTGTTGCTTTTCTTTACTTTGGGAATGACAAGATTCAAGTTCTTCCAATCAAACTAGTCATTCCTTCCAACCACTTTCCAGCTGAGCCACACAAACTCGTAACTAAAAATTAAGGAGCAGATAAGGCAGAAGAGACACAGGATGAAGGCACAAACAATCCACTTCTTTCTCTTTTCTGCCTTCGTCCCTTTTGGGCCTTCTCTTAAGTCATGCCAGATGAAGGTAGTACTGCACAGCCCACAGGAAGCTTAGCTCTGGGTGTGGCTATCTATGTGCCAGAGAAAAGGGACTGATCTACTGCAAGAGCTTCTTCCTGGGTGAGCATTGTGAAGGACGCTAAAACCCTCTCTAGAAGAAGCACCCTCTGAATTTGGCTCAGTTTTTCTTCTCTCATCAAATGACCTCTCTTTTCTCATCTTTTACATATCCCTATCTGGTGAAATCAACAAGGTGAAACTCAGACACCTTCTAAGCTTGAAAACATTTTCTTTCTTTGACAGAAACAATGATACCCATGCTAGGAGCTCTTAACCATAAAGAGATGGAAGGGACAACAGGTATAGAAAATAGCTGAGAGTCAGAGTAAGGGCTAGAAATGGTAGTGCTTTTAACTGGACTATGGAGGCAACCACAAGTCAGAGAACCACAAGGTTCTTTCCCCTTCTCTGCAGCCAGAGCCCAATGTCATCACAACAACATGACATTCAAGAAAGCCCAACCTATTTTAAGTAGTTTCAGGTGACAGATTACTGGGCCAGAGTGAGACACAGAATGGCAGATCACAGAGGAGAAAAGGTTCACTGTGCTGTGAACCACCACTAATCTCGACTGATAAAACCAGAAGAGACATGCATCTCCATTTTCAAGTGTTTAACAGGTGACATCACGCTATGGATTTAACCAAAGTGCTGTCTGGATCATCCAGTAAATGTCACATAATAGCACTTGAGTTGCTCAGATAAAGGCCTAGGAACACTGTGGATGAATTCACATTGCAAAACAAATTTCCCAGATGAATGTGTAATCATAATTCCAAGTCATGTTACTTTATGTTTTTTTTTTTTTAGAGCATAACCATGAATGACATTTATCTGGAATAGAACTAGTTTTGCTTTAGAAAGTCCAGTAACACGAGACAATTTCCACATGGAAGTATAAGACTGACACTTTTCTCTAGGTTAGTAAAGAAGTACCACAACATTAATCCATCAGGGAAATGCCACAATGATGAGACACCACTTCACACCCACTACGATGGCTACAATAAGAAGACAGGTAATAACAAGTGCCGACGAGGACTTGGAGCAATTGGAACCCTCACACACTGCTGGTGGAAATGTAAAATGGTGCAGTCGCTTTGGGAAACAGCCTGGCAGTTCCTAAAAAGGATAAACATAGAGTTACCATATGGCCCAGTAATTATACTCCTAGATAAACACCACAAGAAATGAAAACGAAAACTCACATTCATTTACAGGCAAATGTTCAAAGGCAGCATTATCCACAACAGGCAACAGAAGGAAATAAGCAAAACGAACAACTCATGAACGGATGAAGATGATACATCCATACAGTGGATTAAAAGGCATTAAAAGGAATAAGTACTGATACATGCTACAACATGGATAAAACTGGAAAATATCATGCTGAATGAAACAAGCCAGACAAACAAGACTACATGAGTGTATTTGTATGCAATGTCCCAAACAGCAAGTCCACAGAGACAGAAAATAAGTTAGTGGTTACTAGGGCTGGGGAGCTTGGAAGAAAATGGGAAGTGAATACTAATAGATACAGTGTTTCCTTCTAAAATTGTTATAGAGATGGTTCACAACTATGTGAACATACAAAAAATGTAGTGTACACTCTAAATAGGTAAACTGTATGGTATGAGCATTTCAACAATAAAGTGGACATAAAAAAGACTCAACATAGGAGATAGGAAGTAAGATGACTTGGGGTTCCAGCGCTTTCATCTTCTGTTTGATACATCAACTACAGAACTGAGGGACGGCACTCACATTATGGCTGCCTTGTGATGTGTGCTGTTGAAAGTAAGCCTGCTCCTGTCACTCACCTGCTATGAGCTAGCTAGAGGACTGTGCTTTCCTCCTTCTGTTCCCTATAAGGATTAATCTGGAGCTTTCCTTCGTGTAGACGCTTAATGATCTTTAACACTTGTTAAATGTATAGCTCAAATTCAACTAAACTTCAAAATTAACCAGCTTGAGTCAGTAATGCTGTGTTGTATATGGAGAAAGCTAGTCAGCACCACTACAGCTATTTGCCTAGCTCTGAGGCCTCTGAGATGCAATGATGGTCTTCAAATTTAGTCAGTTCTGCTTACAATAGGATTCATGCTTATAAACTGCTCAGTTTCAATCTCTCTATATAAACTTCCTGGGCAGGGGTTATTTTTGAGGGGTTAATGGACCAGATCTCTAAGAGCTTAAGGTGGGGCAGCACTGTATTTCCCTAGTACTTAAGATCAGGAAATCCCCATTTGGCCTTTTGTGATGCTTGCCTGCTCATTTTGTTAATTGTTACACTATGGCTTGAGTTTGTCTACCTGGGTTTGAATTTGAACTGTGTACTTAAATAGCTGTTCAATCTGACCAAAGTTTTTAACAGTTCTATCCTTCACTTTCATCATTTGTACGGTGATAGTAATACAGATACAGATTTTTATGAGGGTGCAAACATACTTAGGATGGTGCCGTGGAATAGAGTTAAGTGCTTGATGGTACAAGCCAGTATAAAAGAACTAAATTTTGCAGAATCCCCAAATGGAGCTGAGGTACAATTACTGTCGTAGAGACGATATGTAATCAGAATACACCAGGCCCCTTGAAGAGGCAAAGCAAACTTAAGGAATTACACATTTATCTAAATTTTTGGTTGGGAAATCACTATAGTTTGGATTTTAAGTGACCCCAGAGGTCACACACATCAAAACTTTTAGGCCTGGCTTGCTTCTTGGGATGGTGCTACTGAGAGATGGTAGAATCTTTAGGAGGTGGGGCCAAGTGGGAAGTCTTTGGGTCATTGAGGGAGTGTCCACCAAGGGGACTATAGGACTTGGTTCTCTTCGGCTTTTCTTTCACTCAGTGGGTACAAGGCTAGCAGTTTTGTTCTGCTACACACTGTCACCATAATGTTGTCATAGGTCCCTAAGCAGCAGGAAAAACCAGTTCATAAGGGACCTGAACCTTCAAAACTGAGGCAAATAAACATTTTCTCCTGTGTTGACTATCTCAGATGTTTGTTACAGTAACAGAAAACTAACACAATGGTACTCTAGGCTATAGGGGGTATTCAGCAAGTGCTCATTTGACAAACCTCTAAACTAATTTTTTATGGTATAGAACACTCCTAGAGAAGATGACTGAGCACTTTTCAGCATCTGTATAATCTTATTTTTTCTTCTGGATTTCCCTGCATGGACAGAATTAGGGAGCCAAAGGTGGTTTGTGGAAGCCATCAACATTACCAATTTAAGTGTAGAGGTTATCTACTAAATTCCAACTACCTTTTTTTTTTTGATAAATAACTTGAAACAGTCTTAAATTTTATCAATAAGATTCTTTTTGAAGACAACAGGACATTTTCCCCTCCTCTCTTTGTCTACATCCTGATAGTGAAGCAGACACTGAAAATACAAACGTCCTCTTCCTTCTGGGCTCCTAACTATGACTTTTTCCAGCTTTCCTTAGAGGTAGGTGTGGTATGTGTGACTCAGTTCTGGCCAATGAAATGTGGTAGAGTGAAGGATGCTTCCTGCTTAGGAACTGGTCCAAGCTCATACTTGCCCCTGACCAGCTTGACTAGAAAGGATTCAGGGTGACAGAGTCACAGATGGAAGGAGTCTGCGATCTTGAATGACCTGATGGAACTGACATCATTCTTATCTACACTGAACTTCACATAGGGCAAAAAAAAATCTATAGTAATATGCCACTGAGGTCTGGAGTTGTTTATACAGAAGCTTTTAATAGGAGCTAATGAAAGTTATTTTAGTTCATAAAGTCAGGTAAAAAGCTCTGTTAACTACTGTTTGGCAGATCTGGCTTGCTTTCAGAATAGTTCTGTTAGACATCAGCAACAAATGGATTAATATAACTCCAAAAAACCCACATTTCCTAGATTCGCTCGTTTCTGGTCTCTTTCACAAAGAACGCTGCAGACATCTATCATGCTGCTACAACACATCCTGGCTTATCTTTAGATTCTGCCTGAAAGTCCTATGAGAATGTGCTTTCCACACACTGTTATTTGTAAATCTTAGTCCAAATTTCCTTGCACAGTTGGTTGAAGTGTATCTCCTGTTGTACACTTAACCACTGGCAGAACTGTTTTATAATTAAAAAAAACTCTGGGCTGAGAGAATAGCAATTTTAAACTGGAAGATAAGAGTTAAAAGTTATCAGTTGGGATGGGAATATAATTCAGTGGTAGAAAGTTTGCCTAGCATGTGTTAAGGCCCTAAGTTTAATACCTAGCACCGCTCCCCTAAAAGGATATTAGTCAATATTAAAAGACAGCAACCCTCTCCGACCCACAGTCCCCTTCTGGGGTAAGTTGATTGCGACCTCCAAGCCTTGATTCCCCCAGCCTCACTCACCCTCCTATCTCCCCCACTGGTCTCTCCTCCTAGCCTGGATCCTGTCCCATTCCTTGTCTTGGTGCCCCAGAAACCTGGGGAACCACCACTGCTTCCTGATCCTTTGCATGCTGACCAACACAGTTCCTTCTCAGGTCCCCAGAAGCATTGCTTCTGGGACTGGCGCAGTCCTCACTTCCCTCTGCGTCCCTGGGCCTGCACAACCCACAGCCCCCCAACCCCTCCAGGCCTCTCTCTCTGGGGTAAGTAGATCAGGCCCTCTGAGCCTTGACTCCCCCAGCCTCATTTACCCTCCCATCTCCCCCACTGTTGTGTCTTCCTAGTTTGGGACCTGCCCCACTCCTTGTTTTGGGGCCCCAGACACCTGGGGAACCAATATTGCTTCCTGATCCTTTGCATCCAGACCAACTCAGTTCCTTCTCGGGTCCCCAGGAGCACTCTGGGCCTGACCCCGCCGTCACCTCCCTCTACTTCCCCGGGCCTGCACAACCTGCCAGCCTCTTTCCCGGAGGCTGGGGCTGACCTTTCCTCTTCCTGATCTTTTGCATCCAGACCAACACAGCTCCTCAGTGCAGTGCCCAGGAGGCCTTGGGGCCGCTTCCCGTGCCATCTGCCTTTGCATCTCTGGGTGGCACAGCCACCAGCTGCCCTAGACCAGCATCTTTCCTGGGCCAGGCTTCCAGGCCAGTCCAATCCCCCAAATTCCTGAGGCCAAAATCTTTCCTGGAGGGATCCAGACCTTAGGAGAAAGCCTGAGGGCATCTGATCCTTGACTGGGGCCTCTGTGGGAACTCCTGAAGACTAAAGCAATCTGGCCACTCCAATATAAAATCAAAAGAGAGAACCAGAAGCTTAGAGGAACCAGCATTTCAAGCCCAAAAAGTAAAACACAAAGACAAAGTTTACAAAAAGAAGCAGACCTAAACTTGAAGGCTTGAGTCTCACACAAGAATCAGAAACTACAAAAGAAATTCACATGTCAAAATCACAGAGAAAAAATAATAACATGAAAAACCAAA